ACAATTCCTTGAATAATTCATACTGTGAACGTTGTTGTTAAGTGCCATTGAGTCTGTTCTGAGTCATAATAATCCTATAAAGGATTTCCAAGGAGCAGTTTGTTGGTTTGAATCACTGACCTTTTGGTTAGGAGTCCAGTGCTTGTCCTACAGTACCACACCAAGACAAATGGGTGTCTTTGTTTTGATCATAGCTTTGCCACTAATGTTTATTACTATTTTGACTGTGGAGAAAAGGAGTTTTTTGGTGTGTTTTTTTCCTTTTTATGAGACAGTTAAGGGTAGGACTTGAACGAGGACACTTTATCTCGTGGGAAGTTAGAAGTCCTTCAACATGGCAGTTGGCTGGGTCCACAGATAAAGAGAGAAGGCTTATGGGGAAAGAATAGTCATAGCTAATCTTCCAGCTTCACACTTTATTTCTCTGTCTTGTGATTTACTTCAATTATTCATAAGCTTTCAGAACGGTTTTGTAAATAGCACAGTCTATGGAAAGTTGCTCTCAGGATTTAAAAGTGACTGTTGTTCAAGTTTGGATTTGATTAGTGAAGGAGAAAAAGATCATTCCCCATGACCACCACCCCCATTTCAAGATTTACCTGGTGGTAGTAGCAACATTTCAAGGGAATACAATAGTCCCAGAACTCTGAGGATTGGGCAGGAACAGAACAAAGAAACTAGACATTAATGCAAGTTTTCCAACTTGATAATTACAGTAGCTTTGCCATTGTCTACTTAGAGCACACAGAGGAATGGAGAAAGTTTTTCCTCAACCCATAGGAATCTTTATCTCAGTTCCAATGCAGATAACTCGCCTATTAATGTATATTTATGTGGCCTGGTTACCATGAACTCTCATAACTATGATACAAAACTTACATTATTTCATGTAATGTTCTAGAGAGATTTTCTTGTAGTTAATAACAAGCAAAGGAAGAAAGAATAATGTTGAATTTAAGAGTGGGAGTGGATGTTAGGGAGCATTTGATTAAATGGCTTTATTACATATAAAATAATTGAGGTTCAGAGAAGTGAAATGGCTTGTCAACAGCCAATAGTCATCAAAGCCAGAGGCTAGAAACCAATTCAGATCTCTCCATTTTCAGAAGAATACTCTCACTTCACTATACCATTCATGCTAACATGGAATAAAATAATTAATTCAGGAATTATTTATTTCTAGCTTTTTTGCTAGTTACATGGATAATAGGAATAGTTAGGGTAATTGATAAATGTTTCATTTCACTAGTTTTAAATTGCATTTCTATAGTGATTTCTCAGATTTACACCAGTGAGACTAAATTACGTAGTATTTCAGAACTCTGCCTGAGATGGTAATTGTGGGGTTTATAATTAACTTTGCCCAACAGATTTGGTCTTTGTCCTTGGTTTCTGAGAGATAACCTCTAAAACCTTGGAATTTCCCATCTGATATCAGCCTGACCTCAGAGGAAGGTGGTGGGAGGTTGAGTTCAGTCATATGGACAATGATTTGTTCAATTATTCCTATGTAATGAAACACGGAAGAAGTGCAACCACAGTGCTCCTTGGAGGCCAGGATGGCCAAACTTTGTCTCTCATACTTTGGACATATTGTCAGGAGGGACCAGTCACTGGAGAAGGATATTATGTTTGGTAAGGCGTAGGGTCAGAGAAAAAGAGGAAGACCCCCAGCGAGATGGGTTGGCCAAGTGGCAGCATCGATGGACTCAAGCAT